GCTGCGCCATGTGGCTAATCTCCCTGGCTGAGGATCAAACTCATGCTGCAGTGGTTGGCCATACTTGACAGCACTGAGACCTTAACCCCTGTGGCACCAAGGAGGACCTTTACTTATTTTTTTTGTAATTATTTTTTTTAATTTCTTATATCATTCATTTTTGTACAATATATGATTTCTCCCCTCAGGTGTAGTCTCCATAAATCTCCCACCACCACATCACTCATGAACCATCACCATAGTCTCTTGTGCTCTTCTCTCCCCTATTTTGACACATCTCCCTCCCCCTCCCCTGCTGTATGCCTCAGATCTATAGTTTGCCTGCAAGTTTGTCTTTTTTTTTTTTTTGACCCTTTGCTAGACTTCTCTATATTCATCCTATAAGTGAAACCATCTGTTATTTTTCTTTTTCCTTCTGACTTATCTCAAGCTCCGTCCATGTTGCTGCAAATGGCATGAGTGTATCTTTTTTGGCTGCTGAGTAGTATTCCATTGGGTGTGTGGATGGATTGATAGATAGATAGATAAATAGATAGATAGATAGATATAGATATAGACCGCATCTTCTTGATTCATCTGTTTTGGGGCATTTAGGTTATTTCCGCATCTTAGTTATTGTAAACAGTGCAGGTTTCCTTTTGGATTAGTGTTTTTGTGTCCTTTGGGTAGATTCCTAGGAATTGCTAGGTCATAAGGTAGATACATTTTAGTAATTTGAGGATCCTCCACACAGCATTCCATAGTGGTTGGACCAGTTTGCATCCCTCATTTGTGAGAAATTTTATGTCATCATTTGGGCCTAAATATTTTTCAGCCAAACAAAACTTTTTTTGTGGTTAAAGAACAGCTATATTGTTATAGGACAGGGAGAGGGTCAGCCCAAACCCCGCAAACCTGCCTATTCTAAATGGGTTCTGCCATCCGCCGCATCAACAGAAAACATAGGAGACTTTAAGGGGAAGGAACTTTAATAAAACTAGGAAACAATACAGGTAAGGCAGAGTCCAGTTTCTAAATGAAGCACCCAAAGTTACCCGTCCCCTTGTGGGTAAAAGTCCATCCAAATGGGATTGGCCCAGAGCAAGGCCCCAAAGCCTGCTATAAGTCTAAGGCATCTTCCAGTGGGGACCCTTAGAAAAGGGTCAGAAACAACCAGACAAGCCCAGAAGGAAAAGAGCAAAATCAACATCAAGATAAAAGCTGCCATGGTCACCTCCCCATGGGTCTCACCCACATCTGTGTCACCCAGTACACGACCAAGACAAGCGCAGTTTCTTCACGTGTCTCTAGGCTCCATGCGCCTCCTCCAGGTCTCCTGGCTCCATCATGCTCCTTCCTTCTTCAGTCTCTTCTGCAGCTTCTCCTCTTCCTACTCAGCTCCACCCTCCCTTGGGTGGGGCAGGGAACCTCCCCCTTTCCTGGGGACCACCCTGTTACAATCCCCCCTTTTAGTTTTTATTCCACCATATCTATGGTGGCTCCATCCTGCTTCCTTCCTCAGTCTCTTCTGCAGCTTCTCTCCCTGCTCAGCTCCACCCTCCCTTGGGTGGGGCAGGGAACCTCCCCCTTTCCTGGGGACCACCCTGTTACAATATCATGAGCAATCAAGAGGAATTTTTTTTGCACAGATAGAAATAGTCTCAAATTCCAACCTAGTTTTGAAGGAACATTTTGTAAAAATGAAACACACACACTATTCTTTTAAAGAGAACCATATCTCATATGTATTTAAAAAAATAAAAATCAGTCACCTTCTGGAAAATTGCATCATATTGGAAATAGTAGTAGATGTTAAAAACGCAAAGTATATTGGCTTTTTTTGGGATTGGTCTCCTGAAGAGAGACCTATGTTTAGTCATAGCTACTAAACATTTGCAATGTTCTGATGTGACTATGCAGAAGATTGTCAAGTTAAAATAATTAGTTTGGGGCATCTTTTATTTTTGGGGGATGATTACCACTCAGTGTGCCAAAGAAATTTTGAAGCAACTGAATAAGGAGGGCCTGAACAGAAATATCTGCCTGCCGTGGTGAAGGAAATGATAACATCGCAGCTCTGACCAGTATTCATGATGGTGTCCAGCAAAGATCAAAGAATTTGATAAAAGTTCTTATTTATGGCCTCTGCAAATCATTCTCAGCTCTTTTGCACAGCTTACTTTTTGGTATGTGTTTCTTCATATGTGATATTTTTGGAATTACGGTAAAGTTCTATTCCTTCTTAATAGTCTCACCTCATGTATGAAAAATGCCTCAGAGTGTAGATGGCATATGAAAAAACTAAAGCCTTCCCCAGAGAAGATAGAGTACACAACATAAAGCTGTACATCCCACAAAGACTAATTTTAAAACATTAATCCCAGCTTTGAAGTTGGGAGGATCAGCTCAGATTTTTTATGAAGAAAACCCTTAACTCTGCAACCACGAAATGTAAACAAGTGACATTTACATCAAAAATAGAAGTACATTTTGAGGAATGCAGACAAATGAAAGATTCTGGCTTTCTATTGCTACACGAAACCTAAGAACAAGCCTCAATCATTTCCCTAGGAATTGTGTAACCAGGGGCTGAAGCCAAAGACTCTTACAGGTGGTGGCCCCTGAAGGGGGGGAGGGGGGTACTGGTGAGTAGCCCCAGGCCAAATACCACCAAAGTATTGATGTGGGTGGAGACTCTGATAAGAAATGTAAGGGACTGCTGAAGCAGCCCCTGCGGATTCATTCAGTGTTTGGGATTCAGTATTTTTGGGATCTTTCACAATTCCAGGGTAAACCATTTATGCCCCCAACATGCTGATCTTCAGAAGGCTCTTGATGGCCTCTGAAGGACGTAGAGAGGCTTCCAGCAGCCAACCTGAGAGAAGAAAAGTTCAGAGATTTTGCAGGTAGCCGAGCTACTGAAACTGTTCCCAGCTTTGAGGCTGTTGTAGTCTGGAAGAGCAGGCAAAGACCCAGAGCTTGGCCCCTTGCTAAGCTGTGAGTGCGGGCTGTCTTTTGGGTCATGCTGTTGCTGCAGTTGCTGTTTTCAGTGTCGATTGTCTGGTACTGTGCTGGCACATCTCTGGTGAGCATATCCTGTTGTGTCTTCTGCTATCTTCAAGAGTTGGATCCCATCCTATTATCTGGCTTCCACGTGCTCTAGGCCCTGAGTGGTGGGAAGACACCATCCTGGGATCCTTTGTGTTTAGGATTATAAAACACCGGACACTGCTTCCGATGAGGTAAACAGCCATTTGTGGCCTCTTTGTTTTTCCTTGTTTGTCAAATAAATCCCATTATTGTTGTTCTCTAAACCTGAGTAGTCTAGCAATTGCTCAGGTGAAGAACTCAGACAGTGACTGACAAACTATTTGAGCACTGTCCTTGGTCAGTTTTAGTGCCCCTTGCTGCCCTGTATCAACTGGACATTCAATTTAAATGACTAGATCAAATAATGTCAATGTCTACTTCCTGATTTTTGTTTAAGGAAGCAATTTGGAACTTTTTAGCAAGTATAGAAAAAATTCTACAGTGAATTTTCTGAAGCTATTTTGAATGGAAATTTATTGGTTATGAAGACTTTGAAAGCCACTGGACTAAATCCCTAAGAAACAAAAATATTGGCAGTATTGATATTTCAAGAATTTATTGTAAAAAGGGATTTATGTGAATCTGTTTGTATATCTGTTGTCTTATGTTAAATAAACTCTTTGAAATTAAAATTAGCAGACATTGTTGTTCAGTGACAGATAAACAAATCTGATCACAGATAGAATGTGTTGTCCATGAGTACAGAAATTTGGGTCAAAGGTCAGTTTGTCATTGACAGACTTGCAGTTGTGGCTATAGACATATACTGTATTTTTTTTACTATAAACAAAAAATGTTGGGATAATTTTTCTCTTTCAAAAGTACATTAATACATTTAAAAATATTAATCCTTTACACTTTTCTTTTTTGAACTGTAATATTTTAATTTTAATTTTTTTACTGGCAAGGTTATACAGTGGAAGCATGAAATTTTCTTTTTTATGCATTTCTTTTCTGGTCGTCGTTATTTCACTTCATGATTATGCTGAAAATCCTTGTGTCATATGTAGAAAGAGGGTGTTAAAAATTGACCTGCTCTAGGGATTATGTTGATTGTGTCATCTTTGGAAGTTGTTCAAATAGGGTATTCAGAACAAGTTCTTATTTCATCACAATTTGACACTAAGGTGAGGACTTGGGTCCTACTTCACTTTCGTTGGATCATGGTAGATTAGGATGTATGATCACAAAGCTCAGGCAGAGGAGGTACTTGGATAAACAATTTTTGAACAAATGAGTGAATGAATAAGTAAAGGAAGGACTCATCTGACAATCTACTTTTTGTATAAAGGAGCATATTGAACCTTAACATAACTTAGCAGGAATTTTAAAATATACTGAAAAGATACCAATGATGAAATGGTTTGTGAGTTTAGGGCTTCTAGAAGATTTATAAACTTTGGCGTGGCTCTTGATATCTTGGTTGCACACAGTCTAGTTAGCAAGAAATTATGAACCATGAAAACAGGATGTTTCCTGAATGAACTAAATTTAATTTAAGAGAAAACTGAGTGGTCAAGAAAACGAACAAAATAATAACAGAAATTGCAATGAGTCGAATCATGTGGAAAGGAATGATACCACCTTATCTAAAAAGAAGATCCAACACATGTTTTTGACTTTTTAATGGCCAAATCAGGGAAGTGAGATTTAGTAAGCTATGATATTGGTGTGAAGTTTATCAGAACTCTTAATACAAAGCTTCAATTGTGGATATACACTTCTCTCCTAAAATAGGTCAACGACTCAAGAAAGGTCGTATTTGCTTCCTTCCTCTTCTATACTCACTGATGGTAATTCAGAACTAAGCTGGGATAACTAAAAAAAGATCTGAAAAAAAGAGGAAGTGTGTGAATATGATTAATGTGAGTTCAGTACATTTTCAGTCAGTTTGTAAATGGTCAATTTCTCTCCATTTCCTTCCCACTCAGATTCCCAGTCCTTTCAGAAAATATCCAAGTCTGTCCAGGGAAGTCTGTTTAATGTGAAATGTGCTGAGCATCTCTGCCTGTAACACCATGTGCTCCAGTGCAAGTAGATCGTAGATGTGGGTAGGTAAACTTGTGGACATGCCCACAGGAGACCCCAGGTTTAGCTGCTATTCCTAACAGTCCCTGTTAAATTTGTAGACAAGTTTGGGACTTCAACTGGAAGCATGATATATGAACTAGAATGGAAACAAAGAAAAGATAAAGGTAGTCATATAAAAGAGCCTACTTAGGGTTTTAGTTTGTATAGAGGACAGCCAAATAGAAATGCTTACTGCACCATCATTGGTAACTGCAATGTCAGCAACATCAGGGAAATGAGTAAGTAAATGATGGTACATTTACTTATGGGTCTCATGTTATCAATAAAAAATCATGCAATCAGAAATAGTGCTTCCAATCTGCAGGATTAGGATATAAATGCATCTCATAAAATAAAATTATATGGAATTTCAGTGGTGTAGTAGTATGTAGAGTAGAAGAGTTAATAATTATACAAAGGAAGTGTCTATGGAGTTCCAGACACTTGTAAAAAAAAAAAAATTATACAAAGGAGCTCATCTGTTCGATTGCTTCAGGGAGAGATGTCTATCAGTAAATCTGATTATATTGCATAGGAAGTCTCCATTGCTCTTAGGAAAAACCAGAAACCCAAAACCCTGGCAAACATGGGCTGTTATCTCAGGAATCAATTCTCAAAGCTTCTCTTGCTGCCTTCACCACCATGATGCACACATATTGTTACTTTTCCTAGAACAGCCTTTCCTTATTCCCCTACTGCTAATTCTTCATATCTTGACTTTGTTGGAGGCCTAGTGCAAAGGAAGGGCCGAACTCCAGCACTTGACTTCAGGCACCACCCTAGCCGGGGTGGATTCTTGAAGCAGTGGCCTGAACTCTCTGCTCCGGAGTGAGGGGCCTGCTGGGAAGGGGTGGAGCTGAGAGGCCATGTGGCAGCAGGTGTCTGGACCTAGAAGTGGTGAGAGAGGTTATGACTGGGTGTCAGTTTTTAGATTCCTTTGTCCTGAAACAGCTTGACCTCACTTTACTAATGGAAGCCTTCCCTGACTAGATTGGAGGTCAAGAAAACTGGTATCTTCCCCACAGTGCTTAACTGCCCCATCACCTATGACTCTACATAAACTCAATGGGGGTGGGTGGGGTGGTGGGAGCATTATTTCCCCAGGGCCTGATACAATCCTTCAGATACAAAAACGTTCAGTGAGTATTGGATGAATGAATTTTAACATTGAGTGAAAATGGAGGGATTGACAACTTTACATGTAATTTAATTACAAATATTTCTTTTGGCCTCCCCTGGTGGTGCAGGCGGTTGAGCACCTCGCTGTGAAGCTGTCCGCAGCCTCTGCAGCGTGGATTCGATCCCAGCCGGCCATGGAGAATCCCACATGGTGCAGCAGACCTCTCCTGTCTCGCCCACTGCTCCGCTCAGCAGTGTATTTCAGTCCGTCCGCCTGTTCTACTCCTTTCTCTCTCACTGGTGAATCCTCTCACCCTCCCACGCATCTGGCCTGTACCCCAGTTCTTGTATGCATGAATAAATAAATCTTTAAGAAAAAAAGGTATTACAAATATTTCTTTTAAAACCATATTTTAAATGACAGAAAGGAAATACTGTACAACAAAATAATGATGTTTTAATTGCAAAATGCTATTGCAAACACGTATTGTGAATCTAAATTGTTATAAACACACTTCATTGTTTTTAAAATGCAACACAAAAAGGAAACTATCAGAATTTAAGTGTACAGTGGAAACTAGTGTTTCCAATCTGATGCCTAGAACCACGATATGAATTTTTTTTTTAAAGAACGGTTAGGGTAATCTTTGTGTGGAGGGAAGTTTCATTTACATAAGCTACCCATATGCAGCCACAGCCAAGGTGGGCCTAGAGTGAGAAGGGAAATGAAAGAAAACAATGATAACACCTGCCAGAGGGCAGACCTGGGGCCACCCTAGGGATGGATAAAAGGGTTGAGCACCATGCTGTGGAGCTGTCCACAGCCTCTGCAGTGTTTTCGATTTCTGGCCGGCCAGGGAGCTACCCACCTGGCGTGGAAGACCTCTCCTGTCTCAGCCGCTGCTCCTCTCAGCAGAGTTTTCGGTCCATCTGCCTGTTCTGCTCCCTGTTCTCTCTGGTGAATCCTCTCACCCTCCCACACCTCCGACCTGTACCCCAGTCCTTGTACGAATGAATAAATCTTTTAAAAAAAATTTTTTTAAGAAGATGCAAGAGGGGTTTTAGGCAGGAGTGAGGGTGGAGAGATAGGGAATGAGTCAGTGAATATTGAAGAAATGTGGAGGAATGCTGAAGAAGTTGCTGGGGGTAACTCCAACAAAGAAGCAGTGAAGGACAGTTGGATGCCGAGAATGGCTTTGCTTGGTTAATAAAGTGAGAGGAGCAGAACATAGGGGATTTTGAGGAAATCAGGTGATGGCGGTGGTCTTGATGCTGTGTGTGAGCGTGCATATGTGTCAATTGAGCAATAAGGCCTAGAAAAAGACCTCACCGTAAATTCAAAGGATACACGCAGGTCAATGAAAGGGAACATCAGATATTATCTGAAAAAGTTCAGTGTGTCAAAGGTGAAGGAAACTTAGGAGTTCAATTAAGATGAGTAAATCTACTCACATGATGAAACTCAACTGAAAGTTTGACATGCACATGACTAACCCATCAAGTGAGAGATACAGCCTGCTCAAGGGAGGAACCCGAGAATCAAGCCAGGGGAAGGAAATGAGAAATTGTTTGTTATGCTAGAAGAAACTGGGTGGAGGTGAGAGGCAGGGACAATTTCTGGCTTGTTTGGTGGTAGGCTGGGGCAATTATGTAATGACAGCTTGGAAGGAGCTTCCTAAAATAACTTGGTCTCACGAACAGTAGATAATTACATATAAAACAAAACAATGACATGCAAGGAAGATTAGGGTTTTTTTAACAGCATTCTTTTATTTTATTTATTTATGCATACAAGAACTAGGGTGCAGGCCAGAGGTTCAGGGGGTGAGAGGATTCACCAGAGGTAGAGTGGGGACAGAACAGGCGGATCGACTGAAATACACTGCTGAGGGGAGCAGCGGGTGAGACAGGAGAGGTCTGCTGTGTCATGTGAGTGAGACAGGAGAGGTCCCCATGCCATGTGGGCTGGGGATCGAACTCGTGCTGCAGATAGCTTCACAGTGCTCAGACTTAACCCCTTGAACCACTAGGGAGGCCCCAGAGAAGATTAGTTTTATGGACTATGTGTTACATGGTGGGCAGGAGAACACACCCCCCAAAGGGGTTAGGAGAACAGAAGATGGGACCATAGATAACAAAGTTAATGAAGTTACTAAATTAACTAAGTTAACTAAGTTAACTAACTAAGTTAACTAAGTTAGCTCTGTAGAGGGTTGGGGTCAGAGTCCAGGGAAGACTCTGGAACTATCAGTTTAGCAAATCTGTTCTCCTGGAAAACTCCCACTGCCTTTCTCATCCCACGCTGCCGGAGTTGCTTAGGTGTTGTGAGTAAGGTCCAACGAGAGTCAACCTGGTTGCCTGGATTTTTGGATTGTACCCAATGCCATGATGTTACTAATCTTTGTGTCAATATACTCAAGTGTGTCAGACATTCACCAAGCTCAGCAAAATACGTTTTTTCTTATCCAATCATCAATGGAAACTGACAGAAAAGTCTAAGAATGCAACACGAATTATCAGTGTACATATCTCACCAATAAACCTGTTTCCTGATGGGGATGTAACAACCAGCGGCTAGGAGACTTCCCCTTTTACTTCAAGCAAAGTATCTCATCAAGTCTCCAGATGGGAGAGAATATGCCAAGACCTCTGAGTCCTCCCAGGTAACTTAACCTCAAGGGCTCCTGGCTACCATGCCCCAAATTCATAGTCAGAAATTAGTGGAAATAAGGTCCCCAACTTATGATGATTCAATTAACAATTTTTTGATTTTATGATAGTGTGAAGCTATACATATTCAGTAGCAACCAAACTTGAATTTTTTTTTAAGATTTATTTATTTATGCATACAAGAACTGGGTATAGGCCAGAGGTGTAGAGGGTGAGAGGAGTCATCAGAGACAGAGTGGGGGACAGAACAGGCAGACTGACTGAAATACACTACTGAGGGAAGCAGTGGGCGAGTCAGGAGAGGTCTGCTGCACTATGTGTGTAGCTCCCTGGCCAGGGATCGAACTCATGCTTCAGAGGCTGCAAACAGCTTCACAGTGCTGTGCTTAACCCCTTGTGCCACCAGGGAAGCCCCAAACTTGAATTTTGAATGGTGATTTTTTTCTCCAGGATTAGTAATATGCAGTATAATACCCTCTCCTGAGGCTGGGCAGTGGCAGTGAGCTGTATTTCCCACTCAGTCATGCAATCATGAGGTGGAAAAAACTGGTGCTTTAGAGTGTATTTTAATATTTTTTTTTAAGATTTATTTATTCATTCATTTATTTATTTATTTATTTATTTATTTATTTATTTGTTTGTTTATTTATTTATTTACACAAGAACTGGTGTACAGGCAGACGGATGGAAGACAATGTTTAGGGGAGCAGCAGGCGAGGCAGGAGAGGTCTGCAGCACCATGTGGGTAGCTCCCTGGCTGGTGGGGAATCCAATTGGAGCTGCAGAGGCTGCGAACAGCTTTGTAGTACAGTGCTCAACCAGCTGCACCATCAGGGAGGCCCTAAAGTGTATTTTGTTGCTATTTTTTTTTAGGGGGGGCAACAGATGGTCCCTGACTTATAACAGTTTGACTTGCAATAGTTTTAATTTGTGATAGGTTTGGTGGATGTAACCCTTTGTAAACTGAGGAAGATTTTTAATACCTGTGACTGCTTTCTCTGTCTTTTCCTTATACACACACACACACACACACACACACACACACACACACAGAGCAATATGGGGAAAACTTTGGGAGCTCAAAAAATGAGATTTTCCCGGCATATGGTAATGCTAGTCATTAAAGGACGAGAGTCAATCTGGTTGCTCCAAATAGGACAGAGATGCAGAGACAAGGTGGCACTTGAATCTGATTCTGGGCTTTCCTCAGCCCTCCCTTCCCGCATCTCTGTTTCTCTTTGTAAAACATTTTCTTAGATCCTTGGATTAATGAATTTCCTTTTGAGGCTAAACTAGCTTGGGGCTCTATCTCTTGCCATCAAAACAGTACGCACAGGCTAGTGAAATCAGTGTAGACATTTGAAATTGAGCTGCTGAGGAGGAGGGCCTCCAACCTCAAGCAGAAACAGGTAAATAGATGTCTGGGTATTCATAACCCAGAAGTTCTTGCTTTTGACTTTGGGAATGTCTTGGTGACAGCTGCTGTAGATGCCAAAGGAAGCACTTAAAGAGAGACTATCAGATTAGACTGATGAGTTAGGACAGTGTGGTTCAGGAGGTGGGAATCCGACACCTGGCAAGTATAAGGCAATATTCAAAGGTGCAGATGCTTCTGTTATCTGAACTGTATCAGTGACCATGACTATGAACATGATGGCAGAGTTAGCCACCCATTTAGAAGTTTGTCATTTAGAGGAGGAATTTGACTGATTTAGCGGATAGTCAGAGACATGTAATACATGTGAGTCAAAAAATCATGCAATCAGGAATAGTGCTTCCGATCTGCATGATTGGGACATAAATGCATCTCATAAAAGAAAAATATATGGAATTTCAGTGGTATAATAGTATGTCATATGTCTGCAAACAATGGGGTGAAGCTAAAACCCCATTTGGGGCAGTTTGAAATATAAATGCTAAGGACACCTTGGTAAACACAGAGTTTGCTATTGTATTACAGTTGAAGCAAGGGTGGGTTTTCCTAACATGGAAGGGGAATGGTAACTTCTGTCCAAAGGAATACAAGGAGCAGGGAGAGGGCAGGAGGGAAGTGGTAACTTTGAAAGGAAAGAGGAAAAGAAAACTTGCTGTCCATTGTTGGTAGGGAAAAAGGGAGAAAGATCTAAGGAATAAACAAAATAGCATGGAAAAAATCAGCAGCCAGAAGAAACGTGCTAGGATAAAGGAGGAGGAGCTGCTGCTGAAGTCTGGAGAGCACGGAACGGCGACGTCATGTGATCCTTTGCACAACTGGGATGACCTTGGAACATTCTGAAGTATCACAGATGGAGGTGGTGAGTCACTGAAGTAGAACCAGACAGGCAGAATTCTGAGTTGAGTAATTTGCTGCAGGCAGTCAGGTCAGCATGTGTCATAGTCAGAGCTGTGCAGAGTCAATGACAAACAATTTCCAGACTAAAGTCTGTGTCAGGGGAAGAAGATCCACATTGGTGAGTCCTCTGAGGAAGCTGTTGCTCAAAAAGTCTCTGAAGGATTCATACTTTTTATCTTGAGAAATTTAAGATGACTGGTCAGCCCTGGTTCTGAAATAGACATTGAGTCCTAAAAATATGAATTTCTTAGATCAACCGCTTAACTTGGGCAAATGAAATCAAAGGGAGTTGAGTGGCTTGCGTTGTCCACACAGCCAGGCAGTGGCAGATCTGGAACTTA